CCCCCACCCACCCACACGGTGCACCCGCAAAGGCGTCCGGCTGGAGTCCGGCGCGCACGACTCAAGGTTCCGGAAGGAGAGCGGTTCCGCGGCCAGGAGTTTCCTCCAGGGCCGAGGCCCGAGTTGTACCTGCGGGAAACGCGTCCAGGGTCCGACCCCGGGCCCTCTGGAAGACACTCCCCGCCTGCGCAGCCGACATGGCGAGACAGCTGCTCCAGCACCCGGCCCCGCTGCAGGACTCCTCCACGAGGCCCCGCCCTCGGGGCGGCGCCCTTCGTCCCTCAGGGCGGGACGGGGCGGGGCCGGCCGCTCCGGGCGCCACTAGTGCTGCCTAGACGAGCCGACCCCCCCCCCCCGCCTCACTCGGGGATCTACTGCTGCGCCTGGCAGGGGAGGCCTGGGGCCCCAATGGGTCAGGCAGTTGTCTCTGGGCTCAGGGTTTAGGGGGTGAAAGGCCTTAAGGAGTTAGGAAAGTGACAAGCAAAGCCCCCCCCCCCAGTTAGCTTGAAATCTTACATAAGAATCTATATGTATGTTTATTTATTTAGTATGTCTCATGCAGTCTTCGGGAGATACTTTTTGCTACCTGGTTTCACTGTTTATGTGAAAGGCCACTGAAACTAGGCGTCCTAATTTTTCTCTTTCTTTCTGGCAATTTGTGAGGTCAAAAAGGCCCAGTCCCAGCTCAGGACAGTCCTCCAAGCCCTGCCCTGTGGTCACTAACACTTTAAAAAACAAACAAAAACATCTTTTTTTCATAGAGCTTGAACCCAGGGCCTGGGCGCTGGTCTCTGAGCTCTTTTGCTCAAGGCCAGTGCTCTACCACTTTGAGCCACAGTGCCACTTCCAGTTGTTCTTTGGAAGACAAAACGTTTCAACGACTTTCCTGCCCAGGCTGGCTTTAAACCACCTTCCTCACATCTCAGCCTCCTGAGTCAGCCAGACACGAACCACCAATGCCCAGCTCTCTGACACTTTTGAAGGCATCCTGAGGTTCGCAGTCATTACCATCTTCTGTGCTTTCCTCTTGAGCAGCTGGAACCCTCCAGGAGCACTGAGTGGACGGCTGTCTTGATCCAATAGACAGCCTGAAGTGAGATCATTCTCCATGGTTGTCAGTGAGGAAAGAGCCACTCTTAAGTAGGTACCTTTCCACACTAAGTCTCGTTTAGCTTTTCCTCCCATCCAGATGGTTGTGTACTGTGTTAAACTCACATCCAGCTAAGCCCTGGTGTGAAAGTGAATCTGGCAGAATAGGGTCTCCTCAGGTGCCCCCAAGTCAACATGAAGTTCCACTGGAATCAATCCACTGGATTTCCTGAAAACACCAGAAGGGTGGGAAAAACCAAGGCAGGAAACACAATCCTGCAACACCTCTATTCCCCACTTCCAGCCTCCATCCAGGAGAGGGACTCTGGGCTGTTCAAAGTCTCCCAGTTGTTGGGGCTTTGGTTAGCAGTCTTAGGAAATAAATCCAGGCTTGGGACGGAGTGGTTGTTTGACATTTGGGAAACTGAGGCAGGGATGTCAGACTTGGATCCCACCAGCAGGGCTGTGGAGGAGAGTCTTGCCATTGGAGTCATGAAGGCAGATGGATTATGGGAGTTCGGGAACCTAATGGCTGAGAAGCCCGGCTCAGACGTTGATAGTGAATCACATCTGGCAAGGAATCACATCTGAGCCTGTGATTAATGGGATGACTTGTGACGTGCAGTGGGGACTTGTTGATCTGGAGCCCTGAAAACTTACAGAACAGGATACCCCTTGTCTAACCACTCAAGGCCAGGAACTCCACACCCCCCCCCCAAAAAAAAAACACCTGTGCTAGATATTGATGATACACAACTCAGTCTCAGCACTTAATGACACATGAACCCAGTTTTCCAACAGAGGCCTTGTGTGTAGACCCCAACAAAAGCTCAAGGCCTTGGGACCACCATTGCATGCTTCTTTGTGAGCCTACCCCTGCTCCATCCGGAAGGGGGCGCTTTTACTTGGTTTGGCTTTTGCATCGCATTCATAAATCTGCTCCTGCTCAGTTACTCTTCTGTGAGCATCCTTGAATTCTTTCACATGGCCCAAGAACCTTTTGGCCCCCTAGGACCTGAATCTGGTAGCAGATAGATCTGGGGAGCATCTCACTACTTACTGACGTACCACCTTGGACAAAGTCTCTTAGTCTTTCCAAGCCGGAGCCCCCAACTTTAAGACCGAATGTTTCATAGAGTTTGGGGAAATGTAAATAAGAAATGACACAGGGGCTGGGAAGGTGGCTCAGTGGTAAAGTGCTTGCTTCCCATGCATGAGGCCCTGGGTTCGATTCCTTAGCACCACATAAACAGAAAAACCCAGAAGTGGCGCTGTGGCTCAAGTGGTAGAGTGCTAGCCTTGAGCTGAAGAGCTCAGGGACAGCGCCACGACCACCAAAAAAAAAAAAAAAATTGACACAGGAGTCTATACCTGTTCCTATTTTCAGCAGTAGAAACAGAGAAAGCTGGCTACGGTGCTCTCAAGAGGAGAAGAAACCTGCGTTTACTTGTGATTTTGTGGTTAAAAAGCTTCACCCCTTTATGTGGCTCAATTGGGTTTGGTCAACAGGGAGGATAAGGAAGAGGGTCTTGCCTGCCCCCTAGGGGTGAGAGCAGGCAACAGATATGGGAGTAGATAGGGAAGACCCGTTGGGTAGAATGTAGATCCATGGAATATTGGTTAAGTGGGGTCAGAAACTGGAATGAGATGCAGAGAATTTTAAGACACACAGACAGACTGGCAGACAGACAGTCAGATCAATGAAGTGAGTGAATGAAGCCTGAACTGTCTAGCTGTAAGGTTCGGATCCTCAGAATGGAGATAAAAAAAAAAGGGGGGGGGAGAGGGGAGGCCATGGAAAAGAGTACTGAACACGGGAATCTCAGAAAAATAGAAGAAAAAAAGGGATCCTTCTCTACAAAAGAGAGTTTGTTCCATCAATTCTTGAAAATTCAGAACTAGTAGAACAAGTCATTCAACTAGAAAGCAAGAAATCTGCAAGGACAAAATGTAATCTCATAATTAATAACACTTGTTTCCTTTTTTCCTTCTTTTTTTTCTTTTTCCTTCCTTCCCTCCCTTCCTCTCCTTCTTTCTTGTTCCTTGCCATTTATTTCCAACAACACAAACCACACCAGGAAGGGGCAGAATTTCCCTGTGTGCAGCCTAGTTACACACGGGACATTCCATCACTGTGCCACATGGTCCCTTAGTCAGAGGCAAGTCAGCAGGCTATCCCACACTCTCAGGAGAGGATTACTGAGGGCACAGATAGGGGGTGATCACTGGAGGCATTAGACAACTTCAGTAGCCAGGTTTCTCAAACTCCACACTCCCTCCCCCTTCTCCCCCCCCCTGCAGTGAACCATTACGCTCCATTACCTTCCAGACAAATTAATCTGATTACTGCTCAGAACGATTAATCAAGTTATTCTAATATAGACTCCAGTGTTTTTCTAAACGCATTATCCTTTCCAATTTAATCTTCCAAGTGGGAAGTCTGGTGAGCTAGCCAAGGTGGGCAAATGTACTAGACTCTGTAGATTTTATTTAGAGGTAAGATTAACGATCACAAAATTTCCAGATCTAAATCTTGACCACCACCACCACAACCCCTCCCGCTCCCCCCATCCCACCCCAGCTATTGGATTTAGACTTGGCATGTGACTTTTAAAACAGACCAATTTGCATAAGGATAAATACAAATGGGGCAGAATGATTAAATTCAAGGCAGAGAAGCGAAGCTAGCCTAGAGAGAAAGAATTTATATTATCCATCCAACCTTGTGGATATTTTTCCCCTTCTCCTTTTGTATTCGGAATCTGTGACTAAATTGAGAATTGAAATGAGGAGCCTTTAACAAACATCTTTCGACTCAGCCCTGCATCTGTGTGTAATTTGGTTGTAGGGAAAGCAAGAGGACTGGTTCATGGGGCAACTCTGTCGGCATTTATTGAAATGTTCCTAGCAACAGAAGTTGTTTACTTTGTCGTTCCCAGAGCCCCAAAAGTAGAAACAGGCAGAAATGATGAAGAGAAATCTAGAAAATTGTAGATGCAGATTTGGTTTCTTTTCCCCCCAGAGGGCAATTTGTGTTGTAAGAATATGTCATTGCAACATCTTTTTTTTTTTCTTTAAGGAAAAATTAATGACAAGCATGAGTTCATGCAGATTTGTTGTTGCTGTTGTTCTAAAGCGAACACAGGCAACAGCAGGTAAATGTCTTGGTTGGCATGTAGCTTAGGGATTGTTCAGCATTGCAATTCTCTTCCCCTTGCATGGGTGACGGTTTTCCTCTGGTTGTTTTTATATTATTCACCTTTGCATGCATTCAGCCAGCTCGAGTCCTTCTGGGAAATTACAATAACAATAATATTTATTGCATTTTTTTATTGATCTTATTAGGCACTCATTCTAATTCTCTCTCTCTCTCTCTCTCTCTCTCTCTCTCTTTACTCTTTCTCCCCACTCCTTTATCCCCTTTCTTTTTGTACCAATACAGGAAGCTTGAATTCAAGGCCTGGGTGCTTTCCCTAAGCTGTTTTTATTTTTATTGTTGTGTTTTTCCTCAAGGCCAGTGCTCTACCACTTGAGCCACACCTCCACTACTAGGTCTTCCTTGGTTAACCAGAGATAAATGTTTCCCTGATTTGTCTGCCCAGGCTGGCTTTGAATCTCCATCCTCAGCTCTCAGCCCTGTGAGTAGCTAGGATGACAGGGGGAGCCACCTAGACATTTTTCCCTGCAGTATTTCATTCTGATTGTGTTAGAATGCTAAAAAAAAAAGTCATTATTGCCATTTTTATTTTCCCAGATGAGAACAATAGAAGTTGAAGCTGGGAGAACTCCAGTCACTTGTGTGAAGGTTGCGCACATAGTCATAGTGGAGAGGGATTTGAGACTTGGATCTTTGTACTGTTTCCCCAGTGTCTGAACATACAGAATGAGTGAATGAATGAATGAATGATCAGTGAGCTCGATTACAGTGGGCCTTATGAAGACACTTATGCAGGTGTCTGAGCATGTGTGTTGGTGGGGGGATTGCTTCTGGCATGTAATGAGTTGCTATGCAATCCTACAGTTCCCAGACTGCTCCCCCCTCCAAAAGTAAGAACTTTCTGATACTGAATGTCATATAGTTCCTGCATTGAGGAGCTCTGCTGTGCAGGTGCCCTGCCGAGCTGGCATCT